CCACTTGCACTTGATAATCAGACAATTGGGCACATGCTCATGGTATGTGGCGAAGCCCACACTTAATAGAAACCGTGCATACTGGCAATTCACTATATGGAATCTGTGCAGGCGGATCAGCATTAGAGGTGGCCCCCTCTATCCATCCACAACAGAATTTGGTTGGCTCCATGAGAATTCCGTACAATCAACGGAATCCGTGAGCAGGCCACAAAGAGAAAAAGTGTCTTATAGAAACAGGCGGGGCCATACTGACGTCAGCATAGACGGCTACAGAAATCCACACAACCTTCCAGAATGGAACCATGTATTATGGAATCTATGCCACAACCCATGGATGACAGGCCCCCCGCAACGGAACCACTGACCGGACCACAGAGGTCGACAGAATTCTATCAACGTTCACGGAGTAACACAGACGTGGGACGTGGGGTGCGATTGCCTGGGTCTTTGATGGATTTGGCAGTGCACACTGCTTGCCCCCGTGGCACATCCATGTGCCTCTTCAAATTGTTGTCCTCCATTACGCAGGCAGAATGTATGCCCAAAGCGTTCCCAAGCCCAGTACATTCGATTGGCTGGCATGCGATGTGATGCCCCTGGGGTATGTGAAATACTGCGTCGGGGCCACCCACCGCCAATTGCCCCCATGGCATCAGGTGAGTGCCGGTGCCACCGGCCCGGTGGTGATGGCGTCGGTGTGGTGGGTGGGTGGTGTGGGTGGGGTGCTATTTCCATTGTTGTTTTCGTTCTAGTTGTTGGATGGCGATTCGTTTCTTTTGAGCTCAAGTACTGGCCGCGGCAATGTGATGCCATGGCCAGGAAGGAGCAGCGGGGAATTTCGAGTCTCACGGGGTGCACGGGCTCAACCCATTAGGCTGTTGCAGTTTGTGTCGGGTCGTGTTGGATGCAACTTGGAGTGGACGGGGACATTGTCTTGTAGTAGAGTAATGGCCGCGGCCTGGCTGGCGATAACCTTATGTAGAATCCTCCAGGATAATGGCAACCAGATCGAGGCACAATGGCGGCAGTCGGCAATGTATTACAATGGTGGTGGGCCTCCTGGTCCAGACAAGGTTGAGTGCACCGGCGAACTGAGACAAATGGCCTATGGGGTGCCCACTTTTATAGGTGGCGCACTCCCCCTCTCGTCATGATGCCCTCGGCCTCCTGTAATGTCCAATACACTTCTGTAATGCCAACCTCGGCCTCCTATAATACCACCTCGGCACTTGGAGAGCCACTCACATGGTCTCTTGGCCCTTTGGCGTACCCCTAGTAGTTCCAGGCGGCTTACCCAAGCTATACCACGTCCCTCCAAGGTACCATGGTCGTAGGGGCGCTGGTACCTATGATCCAATGTAATGCAGGTATATGGCAGGTGCCCGTACTGCCGGATCAACCCCATAATCCCTTGGAGTGTACTCCACCACTTCTTGGCGGCTCCCATCCGCCCATGACCGCGCACCACATCATAATAGACTATAATGTTGATAATCACATCGGTTCCATCAAGGAATAATGCCCCAAATGGCCAGAAATGGGCTAAATGATCTAAATTACTTTAATAACCTCATTATACCGAAAATTGGCCCATTTAACTAGATGACCGTGGCGATCATGATTAACACATTTTTAGACGCAGATGAACTCATCTAAGTCATCTAAGTCATCTAATTACCTGTCAAAGTCTAGTACAATGTCCAGTTATTACACCTTACCCTAGCTCCCGGATCGGGTTGGTGTGGATGGGGTTGTTGTACAACTCTTAAACTGGAGTACCGGCTGTTGCTTGGCCGGGAAAGGGCTATTGTTTTGTGAAGGCGCCGGGTGGGTGGGCGTTTGCTAACGTGTTTTGCTTTGTCCAATGCAGGTTCCGGCCGTGAGCATGCCACACCAGGGGGACAATGCAGGTAGGGGGGTGAAATGGGTGACTGCTGCTTCTCCAAGATCGTGTCGGGGTGGGGCGGGGGGTTGTTATTCCGTTTGGCTGGAGTATTGGCGCAGCTTGGCCGGGAAAAAGCCGCTGATGCCGCTGGCACCACTTACATTGGTTGGTAGTACATTAAAATAGTTGTACATTAACATTTGTGCATTATATATTTTACTATACACAACTGTACGTTGATTGACAGGTTAAGGGTGCACGGAGCATACTCTGTAACATCTCTCACTGGGTTTCACGCTCTCTTGCATGCAGCTCATACGTGGTCCTTATTAGGAGCCGCATCGGCCGTTGTTGCCGGGGCTCGTGGTGTCCATAGGCGGTTGCTGCTTGTCCGAGATCATGTGAGGGCGCGGCGGGGGAGGGGGGCTGTTTTGCTCAACTGGAGTACCGGCCATGGTCTGGCTGGAAAAAGCCGTTGTTGCCGGGTTCGCAGTGTGCATGGGTGGCTGCTGCTTATCCGAGATCGTGTCAGAGGGGGGGGGGGATTGTTGTTCTGCTTGGCTGCAGTACCGGCCGCGGCCTGGCTGGGAAAAAGCCACTGTTGCCAGGTTCGCAGTGTGCATGGGCAGCTGCTGCTTCTCCCATCATGTCCCTATTGGTGCTATTTCTCTCTTTTGGTGCATGAGCATCTTGGCAAGACCCAATGCATAGCACCGCCTGGGTGTGGTTGGGTTCTGAATGTGGCTTCATTGTGTGTGAGGCATGCACAGGTAGTTTGATAAACAGTGCGGAAGGCGCCAAGGTCGGGACCCTGGCAGCCTCAACAGGGAAGAGAAAACATAGGCTAACCTTGGATTCCAAGGCTTGAAAGTTGCTACAATTTGGTGTGGTTGTTTGTAGTTTGGTGTTGTGTGCATTGGAACAGGAGTTAATGGTGGTCGATGCACTTTCCTAAATATCTGTCATGCATATGTTATCTTGCTGCATGGGCCCCATGCAACGGGGCTTTGTTTTTCTTGTATTCCTATAGTGCTGGCAGTTTGTTGGTCTATGTGGTCTCAGTACCGGCCATCCTTTGGCCAGGAAGGGCACAGTACTGGCCCCCCATTGGCCGGGAATGCTGCACTATTATATGTTCAACAATTACCTTTGCCAGTGCATTGCACTAAGTGTAAGTCGTATTAGGCCCAAACAACATCATGCGGATGCCCGCAAGCAACGAACATAGAAATAGAATATGAGGCAATGGTAGATGATGCACTTTCTTGAACATGTTGTCATATATATATTATCTTGCTATACGGGCCCGTACGGGGCTTTGCTTTTCTTGCATTCGTGCATTGTTGGCAATTTGTTGGTCTATGTGGCCTTAGTACCGGCCATCATTTGGCCAGGAATGGCAGAGTACCAGCCGCCCATTGGCCAGGAAATGTTGCGCTACTATATGTCCAATAACTGCCTTTGCCGGTGTAGGCGGCCTTCGTCAAGGCCAACAGATGCCTGACGGCACAAAGCGGCAAATGAGGAAACACCAGGGGCAGGGGTCCGTGTTAGGCTCAGAAAGTTGAGGGATAGGGTCTTGGCTAACGAAAGGATGGAGTGGGAGTTCCTTGGGATGCCACCTCTGATATATGCTATGATCAGTGGCGCTCCGCTATGATCGATCATCTGGTGGTGCAGCAACTAGTCGAGGTTTCCTCTAATTGTAAAATTGGCGTGGAAGGTCTGGCCACGCAGGTGAGGTGGCGCGTCCGGGACTGTCTGCTTGCATATTTGTTTGTCCATCTTCGTTGTTGCTGGACACATTGGCCTAGTCCAGTTCGGGGACGCTGTATTAGGGTTGACTCTGGATGTTTTTTCTTAGACCGAGGATTTGCTAGCTAGAATCAAACCAATTTAGCCATACAGCCTGGTCCCTTGAAGGCTAGGATCTTTCTGAAGCATCTTTGAATCCAGCCAGTTTGGGGAAATGAGTGGTGGCATAGATGTGTTGAGCACACAAGGTGGTATTTCTTGTCACCTAAGCTTTCCACCTCCTTTACACTCAATCTTAAGTTTTGCAGCAGCGTGCTCATAACCCATCTTTGGAGTGCTTTCTCTTTCTTTTATTTTACTTTTCCTTTTGTTTTCCAAACTCAGAAATGGTGGCATACTCAGGGCCATCCCTATAACACATATGGTAGACACCCATCGTACGTCATTTACATAAATGACCCACCCAGGGAAAACGGTGATCATTATGTGGCGTTGCGAACAGGACGTTGTTGTAGCAATGTTTCCGAGACTAATAAAACTAACTTTCGTGCAAAATGTCGGTAAGGGGGGTCATGGAAAACAACAGAACATGCATCCTCTTCTCTTTTTGTGCACTCAAAAATGGCGATGTTGCACAAAAAAATTCTTTGTTTTTTGACGGCCAATCTTGAGCACAACCGTTTTGCCCAAAAAAACACATAATCGTGATGTTGCGCACAATGCAGCCTTTCGGACCTTACCGACATTTTGCACGAAAGGTTGTTATAAATGAGCGATTATGATTGGGTCAAATGTCTTCAGTGTGGCGCAACACCTAAAATTAGAATCCCGCATTTGTCTTAGATGTTTGCGATAGACAGAGTTTCTATGGTTACATGGCCAATGCAGGGGCGATGTGGAATCTGCAGGGCCTTCGCGATTGGATTGATCAACCTCTAGGCGAACTGAGTTTCGCTCAGCCATAGTGCAATCCCTCAGAGTCGATACAAATTCTGTATGCTTAACACACGTGCACTCTTTGGGTCCATAGTCGAGGAATTCCGAAGCTGACTATCAAGTGTTGTCCCAAGTGCACTCCATGCGCACGCATTCACCAAGTAATTGTGGAATATGGATATATGATGAATATCTTCCAACGATCCTCAGCAAACACTAGCAAAGCTCCTGAGGGGGGCAATTCTAAGAGTCCTTCCTCCAGCATTCCAATACGGAAGTTCCCAAACGTCACGGCCATATTCCACCCCTATGCCGATTCAGATCGTTTCTAACCTTGCTCCATTCATTTCCCTTTGGTGCTATTTTCCGTTCCATGCCTGGTGGTGCAATCACAGGGTTTCCTTCTCCCAAGTGCCAACGATCAAACCAAGGTGAAAAATGCAAACAACGTGGACAGCATCGAGACCACCGCGCCGATGGCCGTTGCTGAGGCCCCATTCCTGTCCCCATCTGTGGCCACGCCACCGCAGGCAATAATGCTGGTGGCTCCGCTGCATCGCGCATGGCAGCTGCTGGGATATTTCTCGCCCGTAGACTCGCTGCACACTTCGTTTGCAGGCTTGCAAGCGGCCACGCAACGCTGGAAACCATGGTCTTCCTGCGAGGGCGGCAGCGAATCCAGGGTGTCAATCGGCAACTACATGCAGTGTGCGAATTTGCTTGTAGGCTATTTCATTTCTCCTTTCCACACGGAATAGGATTGACCCATAGTGAAGCTGCCACTTGTCCGTCAAAACAAGAGTCAAGTTTCACATCGAATACCAAATTCATCATCGCATGAAGCAGGACAGTGTTGCGGGTCAGTTTTTTGCAGCTCTGAAACACGGAGCATTAGTCCTTGGACAGTATCCCAATATCCGTTCATATTATTGGTACCGTTTATGGGTCGTGGAGAGTTGGGGACTGGAGGGAGTTGACGGGTCAACGTGCGTATGTTCAAGTGGTTGCGAGTGATGAACGTATAGTGCGACGTGCAAAGTGAGTTTCTTATGTTCCACATAGAGTGTGAAGAATGGTAGTAATTCACTCATCCGCAGTAATAAAAAATCAACTACGTGAGCCCCGTCAGCTCTTTAAATACCCACCCTAAATCAATTTGCTTTCGGATACATTTACCAATCGTAAAAGTTGTTCGTCTACCCACTGCTTAGCGCTGGACTGTAGTCAGTGTGTACGATGCGGGGAGGGCACACTATTTTCATCAAGTACAGTGATCTGCCATTCTGTTCATGAACTCCGTGAACAGCATTGCGGATTACTCAACATGACATAGTTCATGGACAGCAAGCTTCTGTCTACATGCGACATCCAACTTCTGGAGACAACCTCAAGGTTACGAGAAGCTTCCCAAGCATCGAGTGCCGACCTTTCCTGGCGCTCTCACATTGGCATGTCAATATCCCCCAGAAAAATATTCGCAGTGCATGGTTACACGCACGCTTGAGCTGGGTGAGCGCGGTGTGCGCAAATTTCGCATGCAGCGCGGCCGCGACAGCCAGATCGACACAAGATCAACAGGAGATCTTTGGTCAGCATTTTGTGTATTAGGGGTGAAGCAGCCCGCTGCAGAGCCGAACGGGGCTTGCGGCGCTGCGCAATTCGAGAACTTCTGTAACGGCATTGATCGTGATCAGTGGCGAAAAGAATTTCGGAATGCGCTGATGAGTGAGGTCAATCCATGAAATGGAAATGTTGCAGATTAAATTTTCCTCCTCGATGGAAGGGACCAACCCCCGCATTCCCCTGTTACCGCTTCATTGCTGCATATCACATCTTGTCCGCTGCGATTGTATAAGCGAGCAAGCGGTACAGAAATTTTAGGAAATCTTAATAAGACTTGAGTTCTATCAAAGAGCATGGCAGCGCCCGCCGTGAAGATGGAGAACCCTCTTATTCTATTGTGCCACAGAGCGTCTGTGCCCATTGCACAATGAGACCTCTCACTTACCAGCGGTTATTCGTGACAAAAGGCCCTAGCAAAATGGCAGAAGCATGCGCTTATGATCACACTACTTCCGTTCAACGTTGAAATCATGGTCTAACCGCGGGTTAACCCCGCGGACCCGCATGACACCACCGCATCTCGCTTCCCTTACATGTTATGCAACATCCCAGAGTTTTTGTTGGAAGATCAATCTTTTGCACGTAGCAAGCTTTCTGCAGAGTTGATTCCCATTGCACCGGTATTCATTTGGGAAGACAGCGGAGTGGTTTAATGTCAACTTGCAGCTCACCTCGCCTTCCCCGCTCGTCCGCGGAGACAGCGCCTCAGTCAGCTCTTCGAGCAGCACGGCATTGTTTCCGGTGGCAGACGCGCCGAAGAGCGCCAGTTGCTGCACGTACACCGGATCCATCTTCTCCCTCACGGCAGCCATGCCCTCCTCGTCGGCGAACAGCGCCCTCGCCCCTGCGAGCTCCGCGTCCGTTACCTGGAACACTCGACTGAGCTGCGTTAACTCTGCCCCCTGCCGCTAGAGAGCTTCAATCGAAGAAACCCTTCACAAAGTACCATCGTTTGTGGCAATATTTCCTGAAAAATGCAACGAAGAATCTACGATCACAACAGGGAACTACGCGCGGCAAATCTATCTGCATCTTTGAAGGGCGCAGAGCAAAATGGGCACCATTAGCAGCACAATGAACGTAATGATAAGCGTCCTGCGCACTTAGAACTGACCGAATCCAAGAGAGAAAGCAAATGTTGAAATTTAAAAAACAGCTCTTAAATCATCAGAATAATAAGATCTTTCCGTTTTCTTGAAAGGGCTATTGCTAGCAGAGCGGTCCAATATCCGTCACCTGCTCCCCGTTGAATATTTTGAAGGCCACCCGAGTGAAGCCCGGCGGAAGCTGCTCGACGTTGATGCCAAACTGCTCCAGAACAGCGGCCACCTCTGGAGATATGGACGTCCCACCGTCTTTTGGATTGGCGCCGGCGGAAACTGTAGTTGCAGGCACATCAAATGCATCACCCGGACTGCCTGGCTGGCGAATGCTCGTATTGTCGATTCCCTTGCCTATTGGCCTTTTGCCAACGTCCTGTTCTTCAATCACGTTTGATGAAGACATCCGCGCTTTGAAATCCACGACAAGCTTGGAGCAGTCGAATTGCGTCGTGATCCCCTGAATCATCGATGAGAATGGTGTTGGGGCTCTCGCCTTCCCAAATGGTACATGGTTTGTCGCCGTACCATCAGGGGATAGGAACGTAGAAATTAAGCCAATCGCCGTGAGTTCTTCATGCAAATCCATGCGATTCCATGCATTGATGGTAGAGACACACCGCATCAGTTTCCGTGATCAGCAATGATGACAGCGCTGGACCTCAGGAGCAGCGTTTTAAATCATTGGTATATAGAGATTTGTCTGGCCTTTGACTTCAATCTATGCTGGAATTGGCTATGCAATTTGCGTAAACGAGCAAACGCCAACAGTCCTGCGTCAGCCTCTGACCAATTCTCTGATGTGCTCTACGTCCGCCACGGGCGAAACGCGGCTGACGTTGATCATCAACATGAAAGAAAAAAAGCCAATGTGACCGATTGGATCAGCAATTTCCTCACATGTCTGGTCGGATTTGACTGCCGGTCAGAGCGCATGCTGCAAGCCAACCATCGGCACACACGCCATGCACAGCCTGTCCCGCCTTCCCCCACAGCGTTATTCCCCTCGCGTTATTCCCTTTCACCACAGCCGTACTTTCTCAAATTCCAACTCACCTGGCAGTCCGCGATGCACGCGCTGGAGTACCGCCTCCCGCCGACGTCGCAGACGGGCCTCGTGGCACCCGTCTCCTGCGCACAGACGCACCCCGCCCTCCAAGCCAGCCGGCCGCCCTCTCCGCCCATGCCAACTGGAACCTCCCTGCCCATTGCCTCGCTGAACGCCGGCAAGCATGGCTCAACCTCTTCCGCGCCCCTGCAGCCCGCGACGCAGAGATTGGTATACCAATAGCCGTTGTGGTCGCACACGGGCTCCAGGTCCATGGTACAGAAGCAACCTTCGTCGGGGGTCTGAGGGCTGGGGACGTCCAGGATGTGCGCTCGGATGCAGTCGGGGTACTTCTCCCTGGTGTAGCCGCATTCCGCCAGCCCCAGGAGCGATTGAAGGGGGACCCTGCTCGGGCACAGACACAAGTGAAATATCGGCCAAGCAACATGGTTTCCAACGGTGCAAAAATCGCGCAAACCCGTGTCAAAACGTGCAAAAATCATTTACACTCACTCAATTATTGCTACACTGTATGGATCCATTTTTCACACAATGTCATATGCTAAAGGCATGATTAAACAAATTTTCACACGATTTTCAATTGTGTTACACGGTACACGACTTTCGAAACCGCATATTTCGGCCTTTTCTTACAAGTGAAATGGGAGCTTGGGTGGGGGACTTCCCTTAAGTTTCGAGTCGTCTGTGAAGCAATGTCGACTGCTGCTTATTGAGGATATTTGAAACTATTGCGGTGTGCATCACGATGGTCGTTTGCATCGGAGTCAATTGCGTTGATGATCGTAAGAGAAAGCTTTTGGGCGATTGATATGGCGAATGCTCACGGATAAAGCAATTCAACTTCTAAATGCATGTGTTGCTGAATTCTGTGCCTCGCACACATTGTAGTATAGCTATGTTATCCTATGTCCGTTGGCGCAGGCATGATAACATACTCCAGTAGTTCCGACCGAAGCAACTCCTCGGGCAGAACGGGTCAAAAATATTGATGCTTTATTGATACAGACTTTTACAAGCTGTTGAACTTCAACAAGCCTCCAAGGCTTGTAATTTAAAATTCACAATTATGCAATGGATTGTTGTGCGATAGCAACATGTGCCACAGCGTACCTGGCAAATGAGTTCCAAGTCCAATACAATGGATGTCGTAGAAATGCATGAAGCCCATTCATGACAGGCGTTATCCATATCCAAGATGCGAGCAGTCCACATACAGCATACGTGACAAACGTTTCTGAAGGTCCTGGATATGGGCAAATTTCCTGAATGTCTAGGATACGGATCGGATATGGGCAATATCTGTCGTATCTGAACATCCCAATTCTGCATCCAAATTTTCTTTCAAGCGCAACCCAAAAGGAGACTAACATGACCGCATATAACCGATATACATATGTGGCTGCCCCTATGTGTTCTTGTTCCCATGGACCACAACGTCAAAATCTCCACGATGTACTGTACTACAGCTGCTACTGCTACCACTAGTTTTTACATACTAACAGCCGTACTCGCACAGCATGTTGCGTCCACAACACGCCGTCCTTGCTGCAATTGCAGCAATGGCAAATCCACCCAAATGGGAGGCGCAGCTCATAATTCCTGCCTCCTCACCCCGCCTGAGCCAGAGGCACGGCCAGGATGCCGACGCAGTCCCTCAGCGCCATCTCGGCACCCGCGAACCCTCCTGCCTCCTCCAGGTCGAAACCGGCGTCGGTCAGCGGGGGAGCAAACGCGTCCACCAGCGAGCAGGAGCACAGGTCACATGAGCCATCCTGCACGGGATCCTCAGACGCTGCCAAGCCTCCTGCGCATGACGCGGCAATGCATGAGGGGCGCTAGTTGCATGAGGTTTACTAGTGGTATGGGGAGGAGTACGCCATTTCCATGCACAAATTACATGCGCTGGTGGAAAACTTTTATGTGTGCGCCGCTCGTTTAACGAGTGGTACCCATTTTGAGAATCACTTAACTTAAATGATTCTCAAAAGTGTGCATATATATCTAGCCTGAGTACTAGTCATTGAGCGATGGCTAATTTATCGAGTGAAAAGGAAGGGCGCGAGATGTCGACGACATCGGGTTTGACACCAAACGGGCTTTGGGACTATTTTGGTTCAATTTCTGTACTGTACCAGGGGTCCGCGACATTGCCCCAAAAGGTGCAAGGGCCGTCCGTGACTTGAGGTGTTTTCGCTGTTATGGAACATGTATGCATGATTAAAGTTTAATCCTCATTCAACTTGAATATGTGTTTTTTCCAGTATTGGGGCCTAAGCATGTGCACCTGCGCATTTACACGTGTAAACACGTACATGGGTCCCAACACTTCAAAAACAACCCATTCAAGTTCAGAGTTTGAATGTTTCAAACAGATCGGTAGCAGAATTGTAGCATCCCAAAATCCGTGGCCATCATGTGACAGAAGTGTAGAAGCCACCGGGACGCGACGATTAAATGCCAGCAACTTGGAAATGCCATACACCAGTGGAAACCGATATTCTTGCAATGCAAACTGCGATGCCATTTGACACTAATTGATGGCATCACACCCGCGTTTGCACCATTGAAAAGACCGTGATGGCGACACTTGGTGTCAAAATGGCATCGCAGTTGGCATCGCAAACATGGTGTTTTCTGATAGTGATATTGTGCTCACAGGGCGAAGTAGGGAGCTTATGACTGCAGCCTTGCCCTGATATGTTAGATTTTTCCATGATGGCGACAAAGGATCAGAAACTCAAATGCGCCACGATTTGCCTCAGAATATTCACCACGGCTCCACCAACTGCTCGACTTCATCAGGAAGCTTCGTGCCAACGCAAGGGACCGCCTTCAAATCAAACTTCTGTTCCGGCACGTTGTAGCGCTGGAGGGCCCGGGGCCCAGGCACATCTCTCGTACTTGGTTGGGCACGACTGTCGCACACCGCAAAGCGCCGCCGAACTTTGGCAGCAGCCGTTCCCAACTGCCGATCCGGAGAGCACACCTCCGCCATTCAAGCAAGACAACAAAACCCTCCGGAAGTTGTTCTTCAGCGACCGGCCCACGGGGCTGGCTTTGCGCGTTGTCGCAGCCGGCGCAGGGCAATTGGCGCAGGCCGTGCGCAGCAATGCTTTTCGTCTGCCTTCGGAACAAGACGTTCTAATCTCCGGCAGCGGAGTGTTGAAATAGGCCTCGGCGGGTCTGGTGTCGCAGCTTTACACAACACCACACCCGCGTGCAGCCGAAACGTTCTTCTGGTTGTTGGCGGGTTACAGTTTTGGACGTCGAATCTCTCCTTGCGCCGACTGTCTTGCGCGTCGAACGACTGTCTTGTGAGTCGAGGATTGCTCGGGAAGGCGCCTATTCCGTCCCACACTAATGGCAACGGAGCAGTCGGCGACACGCAGACAGACACAGTGCCGTTGACCGAGCCAACATCAACCAACGGCTCAGCCAGAACCACGCCCCATCCTCCCTAATGTTCATTGCGGGCCTTGCGCGCAGATGTGCATCGATTCAATCGGTCGCCGATGGCAAGGCATAGATGGAATTTTCCACAATCGGCAGACACCCCCAAGGAGGTGTGTATTGCACGGTCCCTGACCCGCGCCGCGGAGACCCCGTAAGCGATAAGGCCCCGCGACTCACTGCAGGAGACGGCAACTTCGGAGAAGTCAATCTGCGCCGCGACCTCGGAAGTGATGGGGCACTGGGCCGAGGCGGCGGGGGCCCACGCCGCGATCAGCAGAAGAGAGCAGATGGCGAGCAGAGCCCCTGGCATCCTCCCGCTGCGACCTGTTCGCCGCAAGCCCCTCGTTTCTTAGAGCGATCTCTGTCGCGGGAAGCGCAGGAGCCAGGGATGGCAAGCCGCGCTCTCCCAAGGGAAAGTGCGCTCCGCGGGGAACGAACGCTTGGATGGAGGCTGCGCAAAGCTGAGTGCCGGGATGGCCAACGAGGGAGACGCGCGTCGCGATTGGTGTGGGCGCGAGGGCACTATTGGATGCCGCTCCCTCGCCGCGGAGCTGTAAGGAGCTGTCGGTCCAAGGCTCATCACGGTGTTGGACCGACTGACTGTCGATGATATAGGCAGCTCGCACTTCCATCTTGGACCTGCATCCCGGTTGGTCTTGACGGACGGGGCGTTCATTCTCGACCGCTGGAATCAGTCTCCATCTGGAAGGCGGGTCCAAGACAGGTAGTAAGAGTCGCCGAGACGGCAACGTTTGCTGGGCTGAATCCTGTGGTGACCGCAGCTTGCAAACACGCACAAAGCATTGCCTACTCTTCCCAATCAAAGGCTCGTTTTCGGAGTTCATCGCAGCTTAGGGTTGCATTGCGCAGTTTCTGTCGAGTGCAGGGCAGGATGTCAAATTCTCGTGTCGCCAAAGAGCATCCAATACATGTCCTGTGAAAATATCTTGTCACGCTTGACCCCAAACTGCACACTCTGTGGGCCCTAAAACCCACAAACCATGTTGTGCACAGCTGGCGAGATGCTAGATGCGGTTTGGTTTCTTGAGGAACACATCTATTTCGACGTGAATACAAAACTCAATGCGTTTTTGGGAACCAGCGTGGGTTGGGGAGTAGACCTGCAGCCAGCCTATCCCAAACGTGCCAAACTGTTGGCACCCGCCAAGGGCAAGTCGTTTACACGCGCAATGCTGTTGCCTGGAGGTGTGCTTGTCCCCGGGCTGTGCATAGGAGCGCCTCTACAATTACGGGACGCATGACCTTGTGCTGTACGCTGGTTCAGGCCCAAATGCTTCCAGCTGACGTTACACCACTGCAACGCCCAACTGTGATGTGAGTGCAGGCAACGCCAATGGGATCGCCTCCCACGGGCAACGCCTGATATAACCACGAAAACCACAACTTGGTTCTGGTAAGCAGCCTGGTATCCCAAGATCTTTGGCACGGCAATCGTGGCATGCTTCAACTCCCCCAAAAGTCTTCTAACTACCAAAAAAGTTAACTATCAACTCAACAACAAACTCACAGGGCATTGAATATTCTAACACACAAGGGATGGCACGATGTCAGCTTTGTTATGCTTAGCATTAATTTGATGGCCCGGCCGCCGAGCCCCCCGCCTCCCCCCCCTTCCCCTGCTGTTGTATCTCCTGGTGAGTTCCCTGTGGGTCCCCTTAGCTTGAATATCGTGGGGTGAATCCTGAGCACGGTCTGTGGACCAACAATGCTCTCCCCTGTTTTCGTGCCTTGTGTTGTTCCGGGGCTCCCTCATATAGCGCCTGAAATGTCAGTAGAAAAAGAGGGGTTTCGCCTCGTTACTTTGTAATGCCACCTTACACCCACCCACCCCTTGCCCTCCTTAGCGTCACTCCTTATGTGGATGCCAGGATGATTCAGCAAGATTACCTAACAAGAGAACACAATTTCCAGCTGTTTTCTTTAGAAGCAAAACGCTCACAGTTGTACAGTGAAACATTTGCCAAATTTTGGTGGGCTGAATAATGGGATTTTAAAGCCATTACAAGCAAGGCGGGCAGCCTCAATGGCTGTGAATTGACGCATTCTGAGGACTTCTTGAAAACTGAACATTTCAGGGGGTTTTAAGGGAATGCAACGAGCCATTTGACGCCTGCCCCGATGCCAGAATGAAACAAAGCACATCATTCTTGAGCAATCGTCGGTGCAACACTGATATCGCGCACAGGGCTGGTTCTATATATTGACTCTCACTCAGGGCGAAGGAGCTCAGAAACTGCAAGGGATACATTACAGCGTCACCCGACCCATTGAACACAACAAAACCCAGATCAAAGGACTCCCCATACCAAACCAAACCACACGTCATTTGGCAGTCGCAGGGGGGTCTTTCCCAGAGCCTGCACCAGCATCCTGCGTTGAAGGTGGCTTGCCCATAGGCCCAGGCCACCTCCTCACATCCTCCTGTGCGCTGCGTGGTGGATTGCCAGCCCCGCTGGTGACTGTAGATCCCAGGGACGCCGCGTGGCCGCCCAGCAAGGGGGCAGGGAACCCAGCCGAGTTAGCAAGGACAGGCAGTGCTGGGATGGATATTGGGGAGCTGTGCACCAGATTGCTGATGCCACCCGGGCTGACAACAGTGTGCTTGGGGACCATGGGCTGCACACCCACGGTGGGGAACGGCAGGGAGATGGAGAGGGGAGCCACAGAGACTTGCATGGGCAGGGGCACAGATTTTGATGTTGGCATTGCCAACTGCCGCACAAGGCCTGCGACACCACAGCGGAAGTCTGTCAATTGCATGATCAAGTTGCAAACCATAGGGCAGCTCTGCGCATACTTTCAAATTGGTAGTTACAGAAGATGCATTTAGGGCATTTGTTCAAAGGGTGTGAACAAGGACTGCAGCCACTGGGCGCCAGGAGCAAGAGTGGTCTGTTGCCAATTCTGATTATGATATTCAACAGGGCACAATGAATGCTCAACAGTTCGCGTCACTCCCCCTCAGCTGCCCACATTCAATCAGTTCAATGTGGTACGATGTTGGCTTAATCAAATGCATTGTTCATAGGCTGTGGCCACATAATACACGTCTACTTGCTTCGACAAAAATAATACTAAATAAAAAGTGAGTTGCTGTCTCGTTCAGGGTGAGTGCCAGCCGTACCACACTGCCTGGACCGCCTGCAGACTCATCCAGTGCAGAGCAACAGTGCCCACTCACCCGAAGATGTCAGGCTGTGGGACGGTGGCGGCAAGCTCAAGCCCCCAGATAGGAGTCCTCCGCCGAGAATTGGCCTCATAGCAGGTGCAGGGGTGCTTTGTATCGTAATCGCACCCCCTGCCTGTGGAGAATGGCCTGATATCCTCTGAACAGCCCCTTGCGACAAGCCCCCTCGAGGGGATGTGATGATGCTCAGGCCAGCTGCTTTGCCCTGCACCACATGCGTGGGACTTGTAGGACTGGCCAGTGGAGCGCTATGCAGCATTCCTGTGCCAAGGGGCGCACTCCCAGATATGTTCAGTAGGCCAGGCCCTCTACCAGTCTCACTCACTACCTCCCCGCCAGCCCTGCTGCCCCAAGCTGGTGACGCCAGGTTGTTTGAGCCAACCAGGCTGCCATGTGTCCTCAGGAGCACTCTCTCCACCAGAGGCCGCCCGGCTTCGCTCATCACAGGCATTTGAGTGGTCAGCCGCTTCTCCATGCCCAACACACTACCCTCCCCAGCAATGGGACCCGCGGAAGGAGGGTCGTCTCTCCGTGTGCTCACCCCTGCCGCAGATGGCCTTGGGGACTGCACAGGGGCCGGTGGGGCTGTGCTTGTGCGGGGCAGAGCGACTGACCTCTGGGGGGGGAGGTGGCCAGGCTCGACTGGCTCACTGTGCATCCTGCTAGGAGCAGGTCTGAAGGAATCGCACTCTGGGGGAACACATGCCTCTAACTCTGGCTTGTACGGCTTCAGGCCAATCCCCAGGGGCACAGCGGGCCACCGCACACTTGACCGGCTGGAGTCCAGGGTCACGTTTGGTGAACTGGCACCTTGCCAAACAGAGCATGCGAGTCAGGAAACCTGGGGGATAGGTAATAACTCAGTTGACAGGGCAACCTCAGTCAAGAAGGTCCTTTTCCATTCATCGCCTTGACAAGAGGACCTCTGCATTCCAATCCTATGGACCTTGCTCACTGGGTCTGTGTAAACACCATTCGGTTGGCCAAGAAGTCAGCTGTGCATGCCTGCCTTGGGCACAGTCAATGCAGTCACAAGTGTGCAAAGGCAGGTATCGACTTCTCTTCAGCTGCTCAATCAGATTTCCAAGGCAGAGCCCACGGGAAAGGAGACCAAGAAATGTGCAGCGCTTGACAACATTGCACCTTGCAAGCAAACTAGAAGAGACAATCAGCAGCTGGAAACAGCTGTCATGGGGATTGCATCGCTCAACATGGTGACTCGATGGTACAAGCAAGTTGTACTGTCAAACAGCGTAACTTAAAATCAGCTGTTGCATTCTTTCCGCAGCACAGATAATCAGCTAGTGTCAGCAAAGTCACACTGAAAAGAAAAGATTACTAGGGGCTGAAGGCTGCGTGTACCTGTAGGATTTTCGACTCTTTGGCGCTTTCTTGGTGCTGGACCACCATTAATGTCAGACCCTTGATCTGACTGAGCGACACGTCTGCGAGACTTCTTGCACTGCCGCACAAAGTCCTGCAATTGGCGCAGCGTAAGCGCATCCATCTCCTCCAAGTCCAGCTGCACTGTGTTCTGCAACGGCACAAGGGGCACAATTAACGTGTAGCAGCTAACTTGGTATCTGTGCAAATCAGATTTGCATCAGCAGCAGCAAACTGAATATCACATGGGTCTGGCACTGAAACAACCATAACACATCTGAGCGGTAAAGTAACGCTAAAGGTCCTCAAAGTTGGTTCTGGACCAGAAATAATAAGATACATAAGACTGGAATAGAATCTGTCGCAGCATAGACCACGTCAGGCCAATGCGAGTATGATGCAAACCAACTGAGTCACCAACCAGCCCGCCATCGTGCAAACACATTGTTTCACCGTTGACTTGAAGCCAACACAGAAAGCAAATTGATGGCCCAATTGAGGAAAAGGAAATGAAGATAAAACTCTTACAATCGTTGTTCCAATGCCATGGCAGAGGGGTTGGCGGCAATCAAGCTGACAGCATATCTGACAAGCCCATCCACTGGAGAAAGGCACCCAGGAATCGCCAGCATGGCAAGCTTACTGCATTAAATGGTCCCTTGGTGCTTAGCCAATCGAGCCCAACGAGCACTCAGTAGGACACAAAAAGCCCACAACAGCAACGGCAAGAAAGGAATCAACACAAGAGATTTCAACAGAAAATTCACATACACAGACAAATTGGAGCTTCCATAGTATCAGCACCCCAAGCGAAAAGCAAACATGTCACCCCTGGCACTAATGACACACCTCCTTCATCGTTGCCATGAGGCCAGGATGCCTGGACATGAGCAAATTTGCAGCCCGCTGAAAGTGGTCCGCAGGAAGTGTTGCCAGCTCCCACCCCAGGCGCACCCGTTCCTTGCTGCTCATCACTCCACAAGCACATGCAGCAAGGCACTGGCAGTACTGGATCCTCTCCACAAGTTTCTGTAAGAGGACCAGCAACTCACAAGAGTCAGGTGAAGCTGTCCATTATCGCACAAAGGGTGCAAGGGCATGCTGTAGTTGTGACATGTAATCACAGCAGAATTCTTCACCAACCAAGGCCACTTGGGAGTCTCATTGAACCCAGCTGGAGGGCATTTGGATATGCTAGAGCCCAACTTATAGCTGACAACAGGTCGGTCCCGACATAGTGTTCTTTTTTGCACTGATGCTGACATTGACTACTTCAGTAAACGCATTAAGGAAGCAACGATGAAGCAAAGAAATTACTCTAGCCACATGTCCATACTCCAGGTCAAATCTGCTACCTTGATTTTTCCCTGTCGGCACTGCAGCACCCCCAGGGGCAGCTGTGGTGCTTCTTGTAAATCAAACTTGACCCCACCAAATACTAGCCCCAAGATCGGGTAATGAGTTTCAAAGGAGATGTGAGGTGTTGAGTGCAAACGCATTATATGCATTCGTCTTGTATGAGGCAAGGCTTCATAGGAGGATAGTTTCCGTTGCATGTATCATGCTTTGAGTGCTATGCGCATGCTACAGTAGTGAAGATCGCAGAGCACACCTACCAGTACTTGCAACCCAGAAACAAAGGTGCATTTGAAAGATTGTGCCAGCCCACATCTGAGCAATGCCGAGCCAAGCACTCTGTGCAGTTGAAATCACCACATGCAGCTGCAATTATGAAAGCACATTCAACAGCAGACTGACTCATCTCAAACTGCATCGCCTTCACACATATGAGAAAAACTCTTCCATGAAAGAAATGCGAATGTCATTGAAACCAAGAGGAAACACCTTTGTTGCCAAAGCAAACAACAGCGGCCAACATTTGCATTGTAAACACAACTGAGTGCACACATCCCAATGCACTTAAACATCGTACCTCTAGTCTCTGTAGTAAAACGCCACAACAATGGTCAACATCCCCTTCTGCTCTCATGATCATCAGCCCAGCTTTGCTTTGCTTCAGCGCTGCCTCTTCATTAACCAGAGCACGTTCTTCTTCCTCCAGTTTTGGCACAACAACACGATTCCAACGCTCGTGGAACTTTTCCTGTGGTGATACCCATGGGCAGGTCAGAAACTTCCAGCTCACCCAACATCGCATTGAAGACACAATGGCAGCATTTTGTGGCATCACGACATCTGCTACGTACCAATTTTCCTCTATGTTGTCCACATCAACTAAGACAATGTGGTTTCCAACTCCCCAGAGCCTCTCAGCGCAACATGTACAATAGGATTCACAAACATTCGAGTTCTATCAAAGTGAAATCCGACCTCAAAAAGATTAAGGTGATAAAGTAAGGGCCTGTGGCCCTATGACAGCAAATTCCATTGCCTACTGACTACGGAGCTTACTTGATGGGCCCAGGACTGCAGACCAAATACGCGCTGCAGTCTTTGTTGAAAACTAAGGTCCAATCAGGCAGAAAAATTCGTTTAGGTTCGGTGGCAGAGCAATCCCACACGGTGGTGGCTTGCAGATCACACACTGCCATCTTGGGAAGCATACCTCCAAGACGTCGCTCATCTTCTTCACATCGCTTCCCACTGGGTTGTACTTTTCCGCATTGTCAAAGACGGTCTGCACATCCACCCGCAATTCCTCGGGATTGCGATAAGAATTGATGTGCGCCTTGACCGTGCCCAGATCCATGGGCTTCTCCACGTAGTTCAGGTAGTCATGGTACTTTGATATGTCCACTGGGTGGTTGAAGGGAAATGCCCACTGAAGCAGTCGACACAGCATAATCATGACAGGGAAATACTGAAGACTATCTTTTCAACAGACAGGGCACATATGACACAATAATGAATCCTCTTATGAGCTACAATTCTTGAATTATCGCCATTCCTTTCTATGGGGCTCGCTTCCACACTGCAAAGATTACCACAAAAAAGGACCCTGTCCAGAACAGGCTGTGGATATCTCAACAGTTCAGGAACAAATGCCGATGTCTTGGACCACAGCTCGCCAGTGGCTTGCAGTCATGCATGGGACTTGATCACCCTGAACTGGGACTTGCATCGCAGCACTCGCCCATCTCAATTGTCACGCCCTAAGCATGAAACTCAACAACAAACAATAAACTGATGAGCCACAGCCATTGTGCATTGCCTCTCGATTGCATCCCGCAGCAAAGTGCTGCAAGTAGCAATAACACGTCCCATCAACTTGGCACCCACCTTATGATTAATGAGGTTCTTCAGCACTGGTAGGCAATGTCTCTGCACTATATCCTGCAACCTCTTCAGATGGTTTTCGTGCAGCATCATCCTCTCCTGCTCATTGACTGTGATGGACATTGCTGCAGGGTTAACAAAGCGCTTCTGTGACAGTTGGTGAGCCTGTCACAACACCAAACACAAAACACATTGGCAACCAAATATGCACATCACAGGTTGCAATTGCACGGTCTACTTGAATGACATTCCTTTTGTCAATAAACTTGCAATCGACAGAAACCCACATCGTTTGGAACAATCTGCAAGCTAGTCAGCAGAAACAAGAGCTTCAACAAGTGGCACAGTACAACAGGCAACTCAGAACTTGTGAAAACAACCCAGTAGCATACACCGATTCCTTTGGTCCACAGATGCTGTGCCTTTCTGTGCATCGCGCTGGTGTGAAGGTCAGCAAAGAGCAGCATGTTTCATTCCAAGGCCAACCCACAGAAAGGCTTGGCTTCTTTGTTGGCTGGGGTTCTTCCGTGCTGCACTGGACTGGGATAACATTCCTCATATCCCACCAGGAGCAACATCAACTCAAGTTGTGTGCAGCATAATGCACCTATAATAGCACTAGAAAAACAAATTTGCGTGTCACCAAAGCCAGCCACCAAACATTTGCTAGGGCTTTTCCTCGGCAATTTGGGACAGTGCATTGTGGATGTGCACAGTGCAGGGCATCGCCAAATAGATGTTTTTGAATGGATTAGTCAGCATCAACCAATTTAGGCAAAGGAACTGAACTCATCAAACCACAACCCGGCAGCGCAGGGTATAGCAGCAAACCATGACAAAGTATGGTATGGAGAACTATTCATTAATCGTACTGACGTGCAGCAAGGCAAAACAAGGACAACAAGGTCCACAACCAGAGAAGAACTCTTCCGGTGATGAAGGTTAATCCTTGATGGTGGGTGTGTTGGTGAGTGTTAAGTTCACTAATGCAGATAACAGATCTAGGGATGACAGTTGAACACACATTGCATTCTCCTGGCATTTTGGGGGCATACGATTGGGTAGAGAGCATTGTGTGGTTGTTGTTGTTCTTGATAAGTGTATTGACAGGGTAAGTTGTCACACCACTGGTCCATGCAACGACATCTTGCACTGTCCACGGCAATGTATCGATGCCCCAACAGGGCCAACATGTGAAAGCATTGATGTTGCTATTGATCGGCTGACACAAAGCATCTACATTCTGATGTGTGTGCCCTCCGTTCTGTGCTCATAGATCGCGAAAAAGGGCTTCAAACTGCAAATCCATCCCTCGCTTGGAGCCCTTGAACTGCCATCTGAACTGGCGGGACAGCGGAACTGTGCCCATTAGTGCAAACAGCCCCAAACGAATAAACAGGTCGCCTGGAGATCTGTCACTCCTCTTGATCCTCTGTCCTGCAGGTTGTTCCAGTGGCACTCGAGTTGAGGGTACAAATGTCGCCATACCCCCATCGCTCAGGTCTGCCACACTGGTAAGCCGGAGATGTGGTACTTCACTTCATGCCATTCCACGTGGAACTCCAGGAACACATGCGTCCACCATTCAATGCAGTCCAGCACTCTAGGAAGCGAATTTAACGAAAATTGTTCCCAGGAGGGTCTTTTGTTCCCATTGTCGGAAAGGCTTCCATCCTGCCAATAAGCCCAGCTTGGCAGATCTGTCACCCACCCAGCTGCCATTTCCGGCCAGCCACCCTCCTCTAACCGCATCATTTCCTTCCCGGCCTCCGGCGCACCACAGCCAGCCGCTGACCGGCCACCACCGTCCTCCAGCGGAACGCTTCCGCCACACTTCCCGGCAAACCCATCTCCGCCACTCTCCCTCACGCACGTCAAACCACGTCCGCTCGGCAGCCCCGACTGCCGTCCGCCAGTCCCTAGGCGCGGCAAGCGCCGCCCCCGCCCCCGCGCAGTGCTGCGAGTCCAGACGAGTCCAGGATTTGGGCGTCCGACAGCACCAGGCGGCTGCCCTTCCCGCCCCCATGCCGCCCCAGGCGGCGCCGTTCCCCGCAGCGGCAGCAGCCCCATCTTAAGGCCGAACGCGCGGTCAACTTGGCCGGCCGCGCACGCACCCCACAGAGCCCCGTCCCCCTGTCCCCCCATCGCCCATTGCGTGCATGTTTTCTCGCTCTTCGTCGTGTTTGTCTTTGACCACTCCTCTCGTTGCTCAGCATACCCCACACAATCTCCTCTCAGCATGCAAATGTCCCTCGCGCACACTCACCCAGGAGGGGGTGACCTTTGCATGACCTGCTTCTCCTTCCCTTTGCACCCCCCCTCCCCCACCCCCCCCCCGCCCGGGCCACCGTTCCGAGATGCTCACCTCTCGCGCGATGAACTCCATCTCCGTCGTGATGTCCGCCACCCTGCGCTTCAGTTCCCACCGTAGCAGCCATCGGCCGCCGTCCAGCGCAGCGCCGCGGCGGCCATCCGGGCCGGGTGGGCCGCCGTCGCCGGCGGGGCAGGCACCGTCCTCGCCGACGCCGGAAGGATCGCGGCGCTGGGAGGGCCCGCTGTCGGCGGGAAGGGGCATCGCGGGCCGTGCGCGATCAGCGCCCGGAGGCCTAGGCGGGCGGAATGTCGGCCCCCACGGACTCTCACACAGCCGCCCTCCGTGCAGCAACACTGTCCTGGTGTGCTCCGGCGTTCGTTTGTTGCATCCAGACGGTGTTGTAGGGAGTGGTGCTGTACGTATGATAGGGGAGCCAGTTAAGGGGAATTGGCTATAGTGAACGAACGGGGACGGCTTTGGGATTGGATCATAGTTGGGGATGGCGGCGGGAATAGGAGCTGAGGAAGTGTGGGAGTGAGGGAGAGTGGGAGTGGGTAGTGTACGCGGGTAGTTGCTGGGCTAGTCGGCAATGGATCATAGTTGGCCTGGGCGCCGGGAATAGAAACTTGGCGTGAGAAAGGGACACGAACCCGGCCAGCTCGTGAAAGTGGCCAGAGTGGGTATTCTGGAGACAGCAACTCATGAACTGTCACATAATCGCACTATAAATACCACTCACTTCGTTTGTAATGATGGGTTCGGATCGTGAGTGACAGACCTGTCTTCCCCGCGCGTGACCGTCGTGAACGCCTCCCGCACCCATGGGGTCGCCGCAGCCCAAAGGCTCATTGCACACTTGAGCCGCCCAAAGGCCGACAGTGTTCCATTCAGCATTACGGAATGAAAGGTAAACCGAGTTTCTCTCGTCTTTAACCCTAGGAGGAAGCGAAACTGGTGAAAACTGGGCGAACACAGAGAATTGTTGGGAAGGCTGCTGGCGGTGTCCCTTGTGCGCCTTTTGGATAATTTCTTATGAAATCAAGAGCTCAATATTTCCATGTCCCTCCCCTCCATATGTTTGCGCTGTTACTCTAGAACATCTGGCCCAGGTGATCCGCGGCTGTTGCTGAAGTTATTGCGTCAATAACCCTTAGCATGGCAACGCTGCCTGCACCTGAGTCGTGGATCTGCTTGGAAATCTCCTTGCCTTGTTATGTATACGTTTTTGATGATCAAAATCTCTTTAAAAGTCTGTCAACTGAGGTGGCAGAATTCCGAATAGATGTTGATAATCAAAAATTCATACACAACAACGCAATATGTTATCTATCCATACCGAGTCTCGGTATGGATCCATAGCATTTTGGTGTTGGTGATCCATGCAACATGATTATGAACCGCGAGGCAATGGCGACCAGTGTGAACATCCGCACTCTTGCAGACTCAACTTCAAAAGGTAAGGATCAGTTTAGTTAGGTCAAAGCATGATTCAGCGGCTCTCCTGCATCTCGAACAGGAGGAAAAACGCCGGCAACCACACGCCGACAAACTTATTCCGAATCGGTTACAAATTAGGTGCCATTGTACATATCGTTCAGACGACCGTTGCACAAAGACGACGTGGTAGACGACTCGGCCCCATCCGAAAGACCATTTGTCGATTTGAAAACGCTTTAATGTCCGATTTCGCTCGATCTATTTTCTATTCACATTTGCTTTTGCAAGTGGCAATCCCTGAAGCAACGTCAAACCGCAATGCTATGATCCGGCACACAGGTGGCTCGGCGACTGGCGCCTGCTCTTCATTTCTCCCCCGTTCATATTCCTCAGCATATCAGCCTTGCTCGGCCTGCAAAATAGGACATTTGAATGAAAACACGCAGAAACCAGTTTTGAATTGGGTCGTGCATTGGTTACCGCACGAATAGGCCATTGCTCGGCAATGCGGCAATGTTATCGTCGAAGTTGCAACCGGCAGCTGCGAGCGGCCCGTCCGAACTGAACCGCGAAGCCAAAAACTACTGTGGCACATGCTGTTTCAGACGCTTCCTGAGCGCATCGCGCCATTCGTCACAAAGCCAACAATGCGATGTGCTCCAGCGTAAAAGAATCGCAGCAAAATTGGCATTCTGCAAGGGCGGCAATTCCGAGCTAGCTTCCCACATTTTTGAAGAATTTCTTCAAAGACGCAGTGTCCTTCTTCGAGCATGCGCCCTTGTCGCAAGTCAGTGCAGCCTCCAGTGTCGGATCCACCTCTGTGCAGATGCACACCAACTCGTGCGGCAGCCGGCCGTCGCCGCTTCTCGCATCGCCATCCGCACCCGCCCTCAACAGCACCTTATGTCAGGAAAGAATTGCATCATAATCACCATGAAGTTCACACAATTACCCTTTACATAGCAACTTTCCGTACAAAAGATGTGTTTCTGAAGTTACAGAAGCTGACATTATCAAGCTGACATTAAGTTATGTTGTGTTAAGTTATGTTGTCAAGTTAAGTTAAGTTATGTTCTCGGTTATGTTAAGAAGCTATGTCGCTGTGCTGCTGTTATGTTGTTGTTATGTTGTTTGTTATGCAACCTTTTCATATGACAAGGAGCGCACGACACAGGAAGAAATGCATCACACGTATTGGGATCGCACAAATGGCGGCTGGGGTGACAAAATCGAATGACTTGGAAAGCAATGGGAACAGTAGAAATGAGTGTGGATTGTTCACGGGTAGTATTTCTTGGTTGCTTGATTGAATGGGATGGTGAGCGCAAGATGCGCTGCTCACCTGAGCCGCTGGTGGTCAATAGCTGTGTGAATAGGTCCCAGAATACTGCAAAACTGATTATGTTTTCATGTCCATCTTGAGAGCGTTCTCAGAATGGGCGAATTGCGCACCTAAGCCAGGGCCAAAGTCAATGGTTCGCAATGCGCATAGCAACAGCAATGCTAATATGACACCAAATTTGGATATGCAAGAACCTCTACGGTGTACTGATCCCCTGCAATTTCAGAAACTGGCTTCGAATGTTATGTTAAAGCGATGTTGGAATAAGGCTAAGTTCCCAGTATTAGTATCCATAGAAGAGGAGCCCAAAACAGCGCAAGTGAGGAGGTGCATACTGACACTGGTCATGATACCAAAATGGTTTGGACCATTCATTCAACAAACGGACGGAGATATAGCTGCAAACTCAGTCCAAGAAACATCGAGCAATACACTGCGCAAGGAAAACATCAGCATGCAATTTTCAAACTCACCACCTTCTCAACCTATCAGACTAGGCAGAAATCTGTGAGGCGCACTAGTCAGAGCCAACCAGGCGCCGTCAAGCGTCCATCATAGTGGTGTCCCAGGACCAGTGCCATAGATCATGGAGGATATAGCGGCCCCGGCGTTTCACATCAGGGGTGATGTCAGGCATGTGGGGGGCGCCATGTTGCGTGCCCTCGCGCTATCTTCCATGCCCCCTGCACTGTTTAGCACCCCCCACGCCACCCTTCGCGATCTACGATACTGAGTACCGTACAGCGCCAGCACTAGGTACTGACACCGGGGCATTGAGACCCATATATTTTTGTACACACAGGGAAGCAGTGCATGTATAGCATCGGGCCACACAGTACGAATAAATTGAGTATTGCAATGTAATGCCCAAGCAAGGAAATATTACCTCAGCCGCGGCTTTGTTGCCAAACTCCGCTGCCCAGTGCAGAGGTTGGTTGTCAGCCCCATCCGGAAGTGTAGGGTCGGCGCCGTGAGCCACAAGCTTGCCTGTGAGCTCTCCATCGGTGGCCAGCATTACCGGTGACACGTGGAGGGCCGTCACTCCAGAGATGTCACGTGCACCGACGTTCGCTCCCCGTGATATCAGCTCCTCCACGACGTTGAGGTGGCCCGCCTGGGAAGAACGGCGTTTCCGTAGATCAACATTGCTTTCAATAAAATGTCAGGCCACTCTCCAAGTTCAATATTTTGGACGCCGCTCCACTTTTCGTGAAAGGTTTCTGAGTGTTGGCAGCATATTTTTGTGTATTTCAGCAGTACACAGTATTGTACATTTCCGCTATAGTGCACAGGTGCACCATTGCACAGTGCTGCCAAATGTGGCAGCCAAATGCATATACTTAACTTTGTACTGAGCGCCGTTGCGCCCAAGGCAGGGTGGCCTGCATGCCAACCACCTGCATGTGATTGGCAAATAAGCATATGCCGCTTTGTGTGGAAATGGAAGCCCTCAAACGGATCGGCGGATAGAATGTGTGGCTGATTTCAAGTGGATGTGCGGGTAAAGCAAGTGAAGCAAGCAAGGCAACGTTGCTGAAGGTTACCTGAGCTGCCACAATGAGAGGCGTGACCTTGCGCTTTGCAATGCCCCCTTCCACATCCGCCCCCGCCTCCAGCAGGTTCTTGGCCACTTCCCTGTGGCCCTCCTGCGCCGCCTTGTACAGTGGCGTTGCCCCGTCCCGGTCGACCAGGCCAGGATTCGCCCCCGCCTGCAGCAGCTCCTTCACGAGCGGCAGCTGCCCGCCCTGAGCCCCAGGACAAACCATGCACTCGGTCACTATTCAGGGAGTGGTGAACATGGAGTCCCGTCGTCATGGCAATCGCACACACGACTGCGTCCTGAAACGTGCTGCCGATGAATTACACACGTGTAATTGTAACTGAACAGTTGCTTTCGCCACTTCCCCCAGCTACCCACTCCGTCTCTCCTCTCTCCCGATACATTGAGGGTGTTGAGTCGCTGAAAAGCATGTGGCAGCAGCGCAAGAGAATAAATGAGTACATGGCACATGAGCGCATCACAATTTTTTGAACATAAACTAGATATGAGTCAATCAGTAGAACATGAAGAAAGCAAACGGCGGGAGTACTGACTGGAAGGAACCATGCGGTTCTCTTTCCACCATGCATTGGCGCAATTCTTTACCAGTGCCACTAGCACAAGTACCATCTTGGCGATACCAGCTGCGATGCCATCGCAGTTACTTGCTCCATGCCAGCCACTGCCATGCCACCAGTTGGAGTCAAAATGGCGTCACAGTTAGCACCGCCAAAATGGGGTTTCTGCCGCCGGGGAGTCGATCCAAAATAGCCCATTTAACTCACCTGGGCGGCCAGCAGCAGAGGCGTGGAGCCACGCACCGTGACCTGCTCCACCGGCGCCCCAGCCACCAACAGGTCCTTGGCGATGACAAGGTAGCCCTCCTGTGCCGCGCAGTGCAGCGAGGAGAAGCCTAGGGCGTCCTGCGCTGAGACGTTGGCGCCTTGGACCCTTGGGCCCCCTAGCAGGTGGCGCACCACCTCTATATGGCCTCCGTAGCTGGCCTCGATGAGGGGCGTGGCGCCAGCGCTGTTGGTGGCCTCAATGTCGGCGCCCTGCTCGAGGAGGCGTTGGACTTCTTCGAGGTTCCCTTCCTGGGCGGCGGAAATCAGGCCCTGGAATGCGGGAGGTGGGCCGAAAAGGTGGTCAGTGCAAAACCTTGGATTGTGGCACGTACAGTGCGCAGCCACACAGTGCAGGTATAGCGATACATGTGCACTTGACTTCCCTTCTCCACAAGCAATTTTCAAGACACTTTGTCTTGTAAATGTCTCTGTGGGTGTAACAAAATGTCTAAAAAGGCACTTTTGTCCTCGACCAAAGAGGCCACAGGTTCACCTACAGCCACCACTTTCAGGGGCAGAGAGGTCTTCATCCTTTTGGCAAATTGAGAACAGGACACAGAACTACGTCTGCTGACACCAATCATGATCGGCGTTGATCAAGTTTGTGCTGATCAGCACTGTGACATGTATTGACAAGCACTGACTAGTGCAGCGGTTTTTACCCATTTCAGCAGAAAGGTTGCTGAAGGCAATGGCCTTTGCCTGCCTAGTGACCACCCAACATGCAATGTCGGAAGCAATACAGCTTCTGACATTGAGTGCGAACATATTCACAGGCTCGACAACTGTGAAATTCACAAAGTACGACAGATCTGCCGCAGTGATTGACGCTCCCTCTGGCGAAAGTCACGAATGTGCTAATGTAGTATGACGCCACCACCTTGGTGCTGCAGATGGTGCCTTACCGCATCCAAATCGCTGTTGGTCTGCAGAATGCCTCTTGACGTGATGACTTCATCAATGAGCCCTGAGAGACAGAGCACGCAATGCTTAACGGTTTGCACTGGGCCACAAAATGGCGACGGGAGCAAGACTCGTGCGATGCAGCACCAGGAAACTGCAATCCACACCAATGTTGTGCATTCTGACAGTATGCTGCAGGAATGTTGCTGCAGGTTTGATCCTGCACAATCAAGAACAGCACTTGTCGAAAAAGGACCAGAGACTGCCAATTTTCACAGCATTTCATGATGCAATCCGGCAGTCCTGATACTCATTCTGTCAAGGTCGTTCTGCACTGGGAAACACATTAATCGCGCCCATGGGACCATTGATGAGCGTCGATGGCTCACAAGGAATATCAAGTTGAAGAGAGTAGAGGCCGCTGTTTGTTCACAATCGCTGGTTTGGGAGCATGGCTATGCGAGGGAATCGTCAACAACCTGCGCACAGGAATGTGCATCCCCGCATAACACAATGAGTTTACAGTTTATCATGGACTGCGGCTGGTGGCCAGCACTTCCCTGTTGGTTCAAGGGCAGTATGTTGAAGGGATTCCGACCAATTGGAGCAACCAGAAAGTAACGTCCTGGGTGGTGTTGCCAAGATCCCCATGATATCGGTTTTAGGAACATCTCTTTCGACAGACCAACACGATGCACGGCCACACAACTTTAGAGAAGCGATGCAGCTTCTTTGTAATTTTACATGGCAAAGATCAGCATTTCGTTCTTAACATCGGGAATGGCCCGTCCGCATTTATGACGATTTCACCTGTACGAAAGCTCAGTTGTTTAACTAGGATTTGTTTGTAAACATGATGCAGATGACCTCAGGGCAGCTGGCAAATGAGAGAAGCCGATCCCCATCACCTACAAAATAATCTGGTGAAAACAATCAAAAATAATCTGACGCGATCTAACAGCATATTTAGCGCGTTTGGTCCACAAGGTACCCAGTATGATGCGGACATGTGCGTTCAATCGGCCAGCATTACTTCACGATCTAGGATACACGTGGGTCAATGGCTGCACCTGCACTACCCAAAAGAAAAATTGCCTGGCCGTCCGCATCAATCGCCCAATTATCACCAGTGTGTGGTCACGCTCCACCAATACCCAAAGTAGGACTTGAACAAGAGCACCACCGCCAGCCAGATCTTGACCTTCTCTTCCCCTTGGTGGTGACGCAGAAAATTCCAAGCAAGCGTAGTGGAACAATGATGCAGAGCTAACTGGAAGTTGCGAGTCCAGGGACTCGCGTACCTTGGTCACAACGAGTGCCTCGCATTGATTGGAAACACTTCACGCCAGCCTTCAGCGCTCGCTCACTTCCACAAAGAACTTTGGCGAAACCTAATGCGGGAAACTCAGAAACCATTGAATGTGGCGACCATGCTGCGAAGCAGACCTGATTTAGCCAGCGGAATCCCTGGCAACGCTCATGCCGTTTTCATCTGCGCCTGTCAATCCTCTGGCGCAACGTCCCTGGCGTTGCGGCTGCGCCATAGCCGAAAGCTTGCGTTCTCCGCGGCAACCGGATAGCAAGGCCTGATGGCCGCATGTGCTCGCCTGCACCACATCCCCTCCCTCGACGAGCATCCCCCACCCCTTCCTGCCGGGTCTTCAAGGGCGTCTTTGCGGATACTGAAACCTTTGTCATCCCCACATTCCAAAACCAGGCTAACGCCCGCGAGACTCAGCCACCCCCAAATCCGCGACCCCCTGCACGGACAGCACCCTCCGCCTGCGCGCACGGGGCGCCGCCCGCATGGATCCCGCACGGATCCGCATGGATCCCCGCGCTGTGGCCGCTCCCATGGTCCCTCCTCGGCCGTGATTCGAATCCAACCTGGGCCCCGCGCCTCCCTCTCCGTGATGGCGGACCGCCTCCCGGGCGCCGGAGCCCCTTCGCACGACGCGAAGATTAGGTGCGCCGCAGCAACGGCCAGGGCGGCCCCGAGGGCCCTCCGGAGGCCGATGGCGCCCATTGGATGTTCACGGGCGAATTCGACGCATGCCCATGCGCACCGTGAAGGGCTGGGGAGCTGGGCTACGGGCATGCAGCCATTGGGATGTGACGGGCAGGGATTTGGTTGAAGTGGTTGAGAAGTCAAATTACAGGATGGTACGCCAGGAATGGGCAGGTCCGAAGGGCCGGCGTCAGTCATGCGGCTGGAGGTGGTACAGGCGATCTGGAGCATCGTCTTTGTGACTTCGCACGGCGGGCGGATGGCTGACTACGATCACGTTGTGTGATGGCTGACGTGGTCTGCCCGCGCCGCCAGGGACCCCCGTTGGGCTTTTGCCTGGACGTGGGCAGTGGTGACTGAAGGGAAAATGTCCGTTTAGCACAATTTCCGCCGGCATGGGACCACGCCCTTCGTCGACTTTCAGGTGCTTGGGTCACTGCTTAGACGATTTATGGCAAGTGGGATTCAGGGACTCCAACTTTCATCTGCCATCTAAGCTGTCACTGCGATGCAACACTGGCAGATCTGGCGTTGCAACGGTCAGAATTGGCAACACCCGATGGACAAATTCATCACGCAGTGCGAGGCGCCGAAGTGCGTGAGCCACACGAGCATGATGCCCAGGCACATGAGCATGGTGGCATTGCATCATCTGACAATTCGACCAAAGAATAAACACTCTTTGGGGAGATATGTTGGTGCCGAGATGCGAAGCTTGTTCATGGCTTTGCTGGTGTGAATTCGTGGAAACGAGTTGCTGGCGAGGGCATTGGGAATTGGACACACCATGCTGTAGTCAAATCAAACAGGAGTAGTAATCTGTCATAGATGTGTCACATATGTGGTGCTGCCGTGTAAGGAACATCCCTCGTTACGGACGCAAAGGCTGACTCTCCTTCCCCCGTATCTCTTCGAGGCGATCGCTCCACGTAAGGGCGCCCAGTCGTGATGGGGCCCAACCCCGCGAGGCCAGCCGTTGGCGCAGCCGCTGGTCATGATCCCGGGGGGCAGCATGGCGGAGCTTGCTTAACAGATAGGCATCCAATAATTGCTGTAAGATACTGGTGAACGGTTGGACGCCATTTGGTTGGCTCCCTGAGCCAAATTATTAAATTACGGACCGTGATTTGGCGCCCAGAATTCCGACCCCGCACTGTTACAATCCAATTAGCGTCCAACGAGCAGGCAGGAGACCAAGCGCCAAGTCTGAGACTTCCCGACTCTGATCGGCGTTGCCTACACTCCGTTCATCTTGCTGCGCGGCGCGTCACAACGCTCAAGTCCTTTGAAGTTGTCTCCAAGTTCTGAGGTCACCCACTCACCCACAGACTGATGAACCTGTGCCAGGAATTGCCAGGTTCCGAGACCTGTGCCTATGCCAGCATGATACACCGCAATCCTGTCCAATCCATGCACAGCTCCGTCAAGAACGCACGTGCCATGCATCGACTTGCCTGAATCACTGAATGCTGGGCCACTGGGCGCAAAACACCCAGATTTTTGCACCGCACCGAACCATGTCTGGTCCACATGTCATTGCTCAAATCCTTTTGCCAGCAATTCAGCATGTGTCAACATGGCACAATATGGTGTGGCAATATCCAGTGCCATTTTCCGTCAGCAACTCCAAATCGATTGGGGCCGCTTGCCCTCGCTCTGTCTACTCGCCCGTCCGTTTCTTCCACACTGTCCCGTGGCTCATTCCCCACTGGTACTTCCTCGCATGCTCCCGGATCATAAACGGGACGTCCTCCTGGTGAACCAAGTCAAACCCAAGACCATCCATCACCTCCTGCAGCCTCTTAGCTGTTCTCACAGCCACAGCCCCTTCGTCCTTCGACCAGTAACCCCCAAGCCACTGCGACTTTGGCGTCCACGCCTCCAGCCAGGAGTAGGGCGAGATGAGGACCACGATACCGCCCTGCTTGGTGAGTCGCGGAAGGCTTCTGAAGAAGCTCATGGGGTCGGGCAGCCTGCAGATGTGTTTGGAGACAATCCAAGTGAATGCAGGTGCCAGAATGTGACAAACGCTGTTGCCCGAACATGCAAGGCAATGAAGGGCACAGTTCCATCTACGTTGCTTCGCTCGAAAGCAACTACTCTTTGTCCGTACTCAAGACGACAGGAAGGCATGGAACGGGAAAGAAACGCAAATCACACCTGCAGATGAGATTGGAGGCCAGGATGGCATCGAAGGGTCGCAGGTCGGGGAGGGCGCAGGCGTCGCCCACCATGAAGCGGACCCTGCTGCGCTCGATGTCGTCAGGGACGCAGGCCACGCGTCTCTCCTGCAGTGCATCCCAAGTCGCAAGTCACTACATTTATCAATGCACGCGATTGCCTGAACTTCCACCCAGGCGATGTTGAATAGTCGCACACAAACAATTTTCTACTTAGGGAAGACACTATGTCGAAATTGCTACGCTTAGCGTGAATTTGATGCTAAGAGGGGGGAGCTGTGACGCTAAGAGATTATATAATTGCGTCAAAATCGACATAAGCTTGGAAGATACCCAAACAGCTGCTGAAACGTAGCCAGAACTTATGACTTGTTCCCAAACTGCCCTTTGGCGCTTTATTCTTCACAAAGGACCCCATAAAATATCAGTTGGATGCATGCAAAACTGCCCCCAATCATCTGCCATGGCTTTTGCATCTCAATTTTCAGACCACTAACATCGCTGCAGTTCTGGCTGTTGTTCTTTCTTCAAAACACAATAAATTTGTCTCACACCATTATTTGATGTTACAGGGTCATCCTGGCTTCGACATAAGGGTTGATGACTCTAAGGGGGGTGGGTGGGGTGGGGTGGGTGGGGGTCTGAGCTTAACATCAAATTGACGCTAAGCATAACAAAATCGACATAGCGTATTCCCTTACGAAGGCTGTTGGCGCCCGCTCCCAACATAACCCCGCGTTTGTCAATATTCAGCAGGACGCTGCCCACTTTGCCTGAATGCTTTGGGCGCTCCTTGGGCTTTTCTGCTATCCTTTTTAAGCTCTTTAAATGGGTGGTGTGCGAAACCATGCTCTGGAGACATTGAACAGAAGCCAGTTACCTGTTTCTGCGCCCATCATTGCCTACAACGTGTGAGGGCTTTACTATTTATGCTTCTTTGAGAATTGCAATTCAAGGGATTGCAAGCTGCCCATTCGTCTGTACTGCAGGCGATTTCATAGATAGTGCTTCGATTACACAAACACCAGAATAGCTCAGTTCATCATGCGCGTGTTTCCTTGCATGAGGTTTGTAAGTCCCCGTTGGCTCCAAGCACCTTTGCATTGCTTTCCAAGGTGTTTGCCAATGTACATCCTTTGTGAACATTCATCAATGAATGATGAAAGGTACCATAGTTCTAGTCGGGTGGTGTCTTTGCCTTCTAGAGACAAAAGGTTGTGTGCGCTGCAACACAAACGGGTGAGAATACTCCCGGGTCCGTATGCTAGAGAGGAAGCGCACATTTCTAGAGCAGGTCTGCACTCAGCACCAATTTAGGCCAGCAAACCACGTCACCATATCAATACAACAAATTAAAGATCTCAACGCACTGTAACACCAGTATTGCATACCATATTTACAGACAAATCACACAGCAACCACACACAACTGCCTGTGGCTCCCAGAGCACTTCAAAGCTGGAGAGAGCACAACGTATTCTTGCTTGGATTGGGCACCCATACTAGGCCAGTTATGCAGACTGAAAATAGATTTCAGCTTTGGCAAGCAACAGCTTGCGATTGGCAAGAAGGGTGGAGAAGGGCACCGATCTCCAAATCGCAATATCACGCTGGACAACTGCCGGGAGCTTGGATGGCTGCATGAATGCTTTGTGGAGTTGTCCTGTTGCCAAACATGCAGATGCTCCCTTACCTTCCCCAGTCCCTGTATGGTGAAAGTGCACAAGGTAGGGTATGCTGAAGAGATTCAAAGCAGGCGGCTGTCTGCAATCAGCACGTTGTGAACACTGCCATGCAATGAAACATGAATAAGTTGAAAACCAACAAGGCCACTTCAAGCACCCATTATTGCACTGTGTGTGCAAGGCCAGGGCATAGCCCAGCTTTCACCTAATTCAGTCAACCAGAATTCGCGATCATGGCCATGTGTTCCTCACAATGCAGCCTATATCAGAAGTATGTGTCAAGAAATAAACGAAATGCTGAGAATGATGGACACAAGGACATTTCCTTGTATTGGCTAACCCCTTTTTCTATAGTTCGGCTTCTCCTCAGACACAAGGGCAGTTATGCCATATGCTGTCGGGGTAAATAAAGCAGCACAGCATCAGCTCCTACTCTGAACATGGACAGTAGCACAGCACCTACACACCATCAGCTCGCCCTCCACAACCGTTTGGTAGGCCATGCTACCCTCCAGCAACATCTCCTTTGCAGCACTGACAAACTTCTGAGAGTAGTCTAGCCCCAACACATGTGGAAAGCTGCACAGCATTCCAAAATGACAATGCAATTTCAGTTTCCTCACGATGTATAGTGAAGCAAAACACAAGTCAAGGACCAAGATCCGAGATCTTAGATTTCTGTTGGCAGCTTGCTTTTGATTTGTTTTACCTTCAATTGCTTTATTTGGGGAAAAGCAATCCTCTGTGATGTGCTTGTGGATCTGACACAGCAAAGGTTCAGGCCATTTGCAGTCCAGGTCACCAGAGCACACCCAGTGTTGGGTTTGGTGCTTAACATTGGTTTGATGTTGCACAATGTATGTCACTGCTGTCGAAAATGTACGAAAACAGCTCAGATGCTGCACAGGTGTCAAATATTTGACGGCTGAGTTGGGTAAAACACCACCTGAAAATCCAATCGCCACATGTGCAATCTCCTGCCATGCAAGCTGCACAGTGTTGTGTGCTTTCACCCCCTTTCAGAGACTTCACGGCAACCATCATGGAATGCAAAACAATCACAGAGTCTTCTGCTGAGGAAGCGGGAACCCATCGTATGACAAGGTTTTGCATTTCTCTTTTATATTTAATTTTCGCATAGGCAATCCCCGCACTGCAGAATTCAGCCACTATCTTGCAATCTGGATTACTGCTTTCAAACTATGTGAACACAATTGGAGGAAACACACTGATGACGCACAAGTTGAGCTTCATTGCTAAACGGCGCACGCGCACAAGCTCGCCATCCCTCACCTCCTGGCAAGCTCGAATGTGGTGCCGCCCACCGCGCAGCCCACGTCCAGCGCGGTGACCTCCCCATTCTCGCCCGTGAAGTCCTGCAGCCCGACGCAGTACTTCTCGCACAGCAGGGCGCACCGCTGCACGAAATTGAGAGCGTCCTGCGCACACCGACATCGGTCAGCGCAACTCGGCGATCTGCAGAGCCCACAAGCCCCATTCAGGGTGGCTGGTTTCGCAATTTTCCTTCAGATCGATGTGCAGACGGGAAAACGACACATTGCGGCAAGCGGCGCCCGACAAGACGCGACTACTGGGCAACACCTGGCCTCCGCCGGGGATTTCCAACTGGACACATTAGAGATCTGCACGCATGGCGGGACATTACGGTTTCCAGTGCTGGGTGCTGAGCGCAAGCAGCAGACAAACAGCAGAAAGCACAACAGAAACAGACGACAAGGCCCAAGGCGCGGCCGCAGGAACAGTATGCGTCCGGAATCGCGATCCCGGCCCTCCCGAACCAACGCAGCGGGGCGTCCATTTTCACCAGGCTCCGACGATCAATCCGCACCACGGCCGAGTCTGCGCGCCCACCTTGGGCCCGCGTTCGTACGGCAGGACGTCCTTGTCGCCGTAATGGAACTGGAGGTACTCGTCCACGGCCCTGGTCGTCTCGTACGCCGCTGGCCCCCCGCCTGCAGAAGACGTCACCGAGCGGCCCTTGGCGACGGTGGGGCCGTCCGCGCGGAAGTAGCGCGCTGCCGCGCAGCTAGCCGCGAGGGCGGCGCCGGCGCCCGCCAGGAACGCGAGCAGCAGCTCGGACCTGTCCATCGCGGCGGGGGCGCGGACGGCAATGACGACGAGCACGGGGCGGCCATCGTTGGGGAGGGCGAAATGGGCAACTACGTGTGCGTCATTTACTTCTCCTTTTGCAAGCATCAATTCATTGGTTTCTCATCGTCCCCTCGCCCTTCCTCTTAGCGACGGTGTGTTCTTGGCGGCCGTTCATTAAAGATTGTCTTTTAATTATACGGTTCTGGCCGATAAAATCAAGGGGCAGCTGTGGTTGAACACCCAAGAGCCAAGGTGTCACTGCCCGGGCGAATGGACCACGTGCTAACTATATGATATTCAGTGTCCAAAATTACAGTTTGAGCATACAGAAATGTGCTTGATGCCTCCCCTTTTAGCAGGACATGGCCCACCATTTTGTGTAGTGCACAACCGCAGCCCGTCAGCACATTTTATATGCGTTTTGACTAAAGCACCAATTTGGAGATGCGAATTGCACCTTTACACAGATTGCGCACACACACACCACTGCACCACACAACCAAATTATAAACCAGCCCCATTCTACACCTTCCTGGCTTGGGCACGTGTTGGAAGTTTCACTTTCGCGCTCATATCCTTGCACACTCCTTGGGTGGCTGCGGCCACCCTCAAGGGAGCGCCACATTGTTCCAGCGCGCGCCCTCGTGTTGTGGCCCCTCCAAGCTTCTGCTCTCCACCGGACGACCCCTTCTCAGGGCCTCTCCGTGCTGGACGCCACAACTTCTGTGTCGATGGATTTTGATGGGCAGATCTCCGATGGCCAGCCATCGGCGGCTCGTCATGGTGCGTGCCTTGTGGGCGTCCTTCACCGGTTTGGGCTGTACCTTTAGGGCCTTCCCGGCCTGCTCATCCCATGCTCTTTGCCTTAGTTATGCAGCGGACGCCTTCTCGGCGTCCTTTGGGCGTTTGTGGCCATCCCCGAGTCGGATTCGAAGGATGCCTTGACGGGATCGTTAGGCAAACTGCCGAGCAGACGTGCCGATTAAACGGCGCCTTTATGGGTGTTATGCCCGCCCTCTTGTCACTGTGAGTGGGGGTGCACGGCCTCCTCGGCCGCCACCCCTTGCTCGCTTTCTGAGGGGGCGTTTTGTGGTGTGGCACTCTGCGGTGCTGTGGGGCACCTTTTTATGCCTGGGACACCTCAAGTGTCGTATGGCCTAACGTGGTGCCCAACGCCCACAACCACACGCACACTTATCAATCACAAAATTGCATTTGCACGTCCACAAAACGCACTAGTTTGACCCTTCAAAACGATCCAGGCTACCCCACAACCGCAACACTCAATGTTGAACACTGGCGTCAGCAAAATGGCTATGCAATCAAGACCATTTCACACATTTTTCAAGATGGGTTTGCGCCTCCCATGTGCAACAAAACGCCATTGCAATGGTTGGGCGCTTAAAGCATTGTGTAGTACTTGAAACACAAAAACATGTTGCAATGGGGCAATGCACGCAGCCCCAAATCTAAAACATTGAATATGTATCTAAACTTCAAAAGCAACATGTCTAGCCCTTTGACATCACTCAACCACTACAAAAGCGCAAGACTAAACCTAATAAAGTGATCAGGAACACATTCCAAAAGGTACCCACAAGATTAGGTAGCCTCTCTCAAGAAAACCTTAACAATTGGCCCCCTTTTCAAGTGATTCAAATTCCATACTATTACAAGTATACAAAATGCACCCTTGCACCTGCACAAACCCCTCACAGCATATTGCCACTCCTCCCTTGTGTCCCACACCACCAAGGGAAAGTGGTCATGGCTCATGGGCTATAAGAAACGCATTGGCAGCTGTGCAAACATAGCAAAGTAAGTGGTTTCATATACACAACCACTTTAAAGACAAAACAACCCTTTTCAAGGGTCTGACATATAGTCAGCTCTCCCCATTCAGAACCAATGGATGAGTTGTTGATCCTTCCATAGGACTGTGCACAATCTGGTGCACTTGTCTTTTCAAGACGACCTTCACCCTCTCACGTTTTCCTTTTCCCACTAGGCCAACTCATTGTCACTTTTCATAATAACTAAACACTTCTACCCCAAATCAGTGTGGCTTGCACAGCCAACCATAGGGTCAGTGTAAAACAATACTATCAACACATAGGGTGAAGGGAGTCAACCTACTTCTGACTCTCACTCCCTTACCCTAGTCGTGCGCTAAACTTGTCATGGCTATCCTGGCCCATGACTTTTAGTGCATGCAGGATTTTTAGTGAAAGAGCTAAAAATAGCCTTGCATAACACAAGGACTGACACTATGCTTGTTCTCTGAAATCCCACAGAGCCAGCACACCTGCCATATCAGACCTGTGTGTGTAAGTGCATTTCAAGATCTCCGCTTTAATGTTACCTTACACATCATATGAAACCCCATTTTTTCATGTGAATTGCTGGACTATACGCCTTTCCTCGTCAGGTCAGGCAACCCATATGGTCTTTTTTAGACCAGGGATACGCTAGCTAGGCTCACCCCAATTCACCCACATAGCCTAGGCCCTTGAGGTCCAGGACCTCCCAGAGTCGTTTTTTGAATCCAGTCTAGACGTGGCCGCTCAGCTTTTTTTCTGTTATTTTCTGTCTGTACTTTTTTTGAACACGAGTATTCCGTCCGTCGATTTTCCATCACTTTGCCGGGGCCGGGTTTCCGTAGGCGTTCATGCCACGTCAACTTTCAATTTTCTGGCTCTGGAGCTGTCCGTCAAGAGGGTGTTTGCAGCCAGCGGCTTCTGTAAAAGGTGTTTTTTTTCCGTTGCCTTTCCTGGCGTTCCGTTGCCATCCGTCACGGAATTTGAGATTCTGGTAGTGTTCCGTTGGTCAACGGCGGTTTCTATTGGAGGCAATTTTTGCCTGTACATACGGGGCCACAGCAGTGATATAACGAGGTGCAATATTAATACATGTATAAACAATGCATGTCTCCC